TTTTGTTTTCTTATCATTTAATGTAAAATGGCTTTTGTGAGTGAGTGAGTGAGTGAGTTGAGTTTTACACCGCACTCAGCAATATTCCAGCTATATGGCGGCGGTCTGTAAATAATCGAGTCTGGACCAGACAATCCAGTGATCAACAGCATGAGCATCGATCTGCGCAATTGGGAACCGATGACATGTGTCAACCAAGTCAGCGAGCCTGACCACCCGATCCCGTTAGTCGCCTTTTTACGACAAGCATAGTCGCCTTTTATAGCAAGCATGGGTTGCTGAAGGGCTATTCTACCCCCGACCTTCACCTTCAAAATTGCTACATCAGTACAACTCCTATTAATTTGAAATAATCATTTCCGAGAATCTCTAAAGAAAACTAAATCTGACAGAATAACAACAATCTTCCATTGTTTTGCAGGACAATGTCAAACAATTTGATGTCAGGAGTGAATGTTGATGGGCAAAACGGCTAGTTTTCTTTTAAGAATACAAGGTTGTATTCAATCATCTCTGGTAAGTTAATTACCAAGTGCAGCATATTCATCATGACCATAGCAAATAATATATGACAGTAAAGCATCATTTAATTCATCCTAATTCATAGTCTAATTGAATAATCAACTTGCAATTGAGGATTTTCTTTGAAAATGTTTAAGAAAACTTCCATTCCTTCGGTTGAAAATATAAATTGTTTACACTTTTCGTCATATTTTGTATTGATGCTGTTCATATGTTCACATGCCAAGTTACAGCAGTGAAATGAACCTTTCAAGTGATTGATTAAACAAATACTTGAATTATTTTAAAGACAATATATCTTCCATATAACTTATCATGTATTTAAATATCAAAATTTCAGAATGTGTCCTATCTCATGGGAATGAGATGGAATGCATCGAAGCAAATTTCAAGAAAGAGTTAGGGGACGTTTCTGAAGTATCCACCTGACCGCCAGGCTGGGAGTGGCAGAAAGAAGGGGAGCTGATAATTGTGTTTTTGGAGTTGTAATTGTGTTGAAAAATCTGAACTGTGGTATTGAAATTGGTGGCGTAAATGTCACTTTGATGCTATATGCAGATGATATTGTGTTATTAGCACTGTGAGATCACCTGCACAGACTATGTCATGTGTGATGTTTTACATTATGCATTAAACCACGTTTCTCTGTGCGTGTGTGTTCATAAAGATTTTCATGAAAAGTGACTTGTTTTATGTGCTGTTTTAAGGTATAGTTCCTGGTCATCTTGGATCCCTTCATGGTGAAAAGTAATTGCATCGTGTTTATTCAGGGGTCTGTCTAATAGCTGAAACTCCAGACAAAATGTCTTCTCAGGACAATTTCCACCTTTTCAAGATAACAATACAACAGTAAATAGTTTTTCTTAATTTGGAATACTTTTCTTTCTTGCTGGTATTATACGTCCAACTGACATAAAACTTATATGAACATTATATTGAATGTGGAATTTTAACCAAGTATTTTATCAGGTAAATATTTTACTGCAATTTTCTGTTTGAACACTGTTTATTGCAGGTAGCTTTTGGGTATTTTAGCTGGATGCAGGAGTTTGGTGCTACTTTAGTGTAGCGTTTTAAAGATGAAGTGCGAGTCTATTTACAGGAAAGCGTAATCCGTTCATATACAATTCAACGTTGACGGTCAAACTTCAACGTTGATTCCACGTCGGATATCAGGAAACGTCAAGACGTTGTTGTGTGATCAATCTATTTTCAACGTTGGAATGAATCATTCTCAACGTTGAGACAACTATTCTGGGATTCGATTCATTTATTGATCAATATTTTGACTTGGAATGTACGGAGACAACTATTGATTCGTACCTGTATGCTCAATTCAAAGGTATTACTGAACTGTTTAAATAAGACTGTGTAAGTAATTGCATGTCTAACCTGACCAAAATCTCCGCTTGTTGTTATTAGTGTAACTGCTGTATTTGTCTCCTTCCTGTACACTCCACTCCAGGACATATTAACTGTAAACTGTGATAAGTCATGCCTAACCTTATACAGCAGCCTTTAGTCAACTTTCAAGTAACACCCTGTATCCAATTTTCAATAGGAAGCTGTATCTACGTATGAACATTTTCCTGGCATTTACAATTTCGATGATAAAATAATTTCTCTCTTCGGATTAAGGATGAACATTTTAAACATAAATCACTTTCCTCGCGTCAAAAGTTCCATGATAAAACAGTTTACGTCTCTTTCCCAATAATGATCATGACTTCCATACACTTTCTAGATGACACATTATTTTCTATATTAAATATACTAAAATAGTTTCTGTTTAAAATGCTCCGAAACTTAGATGTCTTAAAGTTATCCATTTGTTTAACAGCTCATCATACGAATTTAATCATTTTCTGCTCACTTTCATTCAGCTTAAAATGTTACATATTTTTGCTACATCTATTAGAATGATACATTCCCACTCCCAACCCGTGTTGGCACAACCAGTCTCCATTGTGGTAGTATGTACTTTCAACACACACCCTCCATTCAGCTTTGAATAGAAAAGCTGGTGAAACATTTGAAACAGGATTTCAGCCCTACTGTATTATAAGGCCTTCATGGACTAGGCTTTGTTTATTGTTTCATGAAGGGTTTCATTACAGATGGCATGATCGCACTAGAACAAACACGGGTTCATTAAAGGTCACATGCAACCAAAAAAATCAAACATAATTAAAACACAGTTATCACTTATTCATGACATATAATATACATTGCTGGTTATGAAAAAACATATAAACAAAATTATAAGAGTACAATCGCAAATCAAAAGTGCAATATTGTGTACTTGGGTTTACTTCCCAAGAAACGAAGCAGCCGGGATACCGAACCCAGTCAGAGCGGGTGGGTGTGCACTCAAGTGTAACGGCTGGTTCATTTGCAGATGTACTCACGGCTCATTGTGTGTGTATATTTAGAGATGTTGGGTTTTGTAAATACATGCTCATTTTGTGTATAACATTTTACAATCAACAGACATCATAACATGTCATGTGTTCAAGTATCACACCTGCCTGTCTGTGTAATTACATAATGTGACAGAGACCGAACTCGGGCCATAAATCAATGCATTTTGTTTATGGTGTATAGCCTGATTGGTGTTAAGTTCAAATTGCATGTGGTCAGTGATAGCAGCTGTGTATTGAATATTGCCATTAGAAGACAGGCAGGCAGACACACAGGTGTCAATAAAACAAGACATTGAGTTTTGTCTGTGACAACGACATATCTATATCACAGTTAGAAATTCTGTCAACGCTAAATAATGACATCGCTTTTAAGTATCAAACTGAGAAAGTGACTCGGTAAGAAGAACGTGTGGTGAAAAAAGACAAATGAAATTATATAAACACTTAATTTACTGTCATAACATATAAAACGCTCGCGCCTGACAGATATCAACAAAACATTAGAAAAATAGCTCACACCAACAGGCCTACCATACAAACGGTGAACAAATCAAAACTGAACTCATATACACCAAAACAGAACAAAAACCACCAAAACTGCAACAATATCCTCTAAAACCGAAACAATACATCTGTAATGGAAGACTAATCGTTTGAAATGGAAACAAAACTCGCGTATCAGCTACAAGAGCGCGCGAGAACGGTCGCCGAGCGTACAAAACAGCATTCATAGCATCCCAAAACGGCATACAAATCGTCAAAGATGGCGGCGAGGGGAGACGAATAGGCTTTGGTACATAATTGTTTTTCGTCACTATGAGTCTAATCTTGAAAATTTGATATCGGGATGTAGTGTATAAACCCCCTATTGTAGTAAGCTTCAAACCTATGTCCATACTTCTCAGTGTCAGGCTTGCAATTCTACACAATGTGGTCCCTCGTTCGACCGAATAGGATTTCTTGTCAGCATGCCGTGGTCCTGTTTCTTTTCAGTTTTGTAAATAAAGTATTCATAGCATCACATTCAACATTACTATATTTTATTGATTTAAAAAGTTTACAAAACCTATGTTCATTTTTCGTGAATTACATATATAAGTGATCATTTTTAAAGTGTACGAGTGCAAACTCAATCCACTGATTAGGGCAGGGACTTCTGTTTCAAGTCCACAGGAGGCGACTTCTTGAGACTTACAATAACAAAGACGGACGCATGTTTGTACCTCAAGTTAAGCTTTATTTTTTGATAAATGATGTAAAATGTTTGGGATTGCATGGAATACTTTGAAGTACATGGAAAAGATCAAATTGCAGAATGATTAACTCTTTCCATGATATAACATAATAGGTGTTGGGGATACGATGCCAATTTTTATTCACATTGACACATAAAATAACAAACTTTTCATATAAATACATAAAATCCTCCTCTCTTAACACTAGTAAAAATCTATCAGTAAAACAGGTTGCCCAGGGAGGTGGGCGGGTGTCTTTACACGTCGACTGCAGCCGCGAGACTGACTCTTCGTCCCGTATGACGACGAGTCGCATGCCCGTACGCACGCCGCGCACGTGCAAGCTTGCGTGGCGGGGTGCCGTTTTCCCGATACTGGCGGTGAGGCGCCCGTCTGTCCATGACCTGGAGTTAAACTTTAATAATATAAATTATTACCCCTTAACTCTTTCCATGATATAACATAATAGGTGTTGGGGATACGATGCCAATTTTTATTCACATTGACACATAAAATAACAAACTTTTCATATAAATACATAAAATCCTCCAAACCCCCAACACCTATTCTGCACATGATGCTGCTATTATCATTGCTTTTGAAAGTTTATCATGGGTTACTCCATCTACAGAAACGTATCTTTCGTAAGCGTTTGATTTCCAGTCTCCATGGAGTTTAATGAGCATGGGTGACACGCCTATCTTGTAAGCGAAGGTACACCCCCCTCGCCTGAACGAATGGCCACTGTAGCTATCTGCCGGGTACCCACAGGCCCCCAGCACTTTCTTTAGTGCTGTAATAAAGGCGGTATACGTTAGACCACAGATCTTACCATCACACATGAAAGAAAACAGATGATTTGTAGGCGGTATCTTGCCTTGGATCTCACGCAGTGACCTGAGCGCTGTAACGGGGCACAAAGGGGAACCCTTCAGACTGGCCAGTGGCAGTCGTAACACCCTCTGTCCGAACTGAATAGTCTTAGAATGTCGAATGGTCACATAGGCAGTAGCATCATTAACAATAACATCACGAACACACAATTGGCGATCAGGAGACTTACTTTGTTTACCAGGTAACAGTGTAGACTTTCTCATGAAGGTGAAGAAAGCCACCAAACATGCACTCCAAAATGCGATGTTAAATGGGATAGATAAATCGAGTTTAGATCTGATTTGTCGCAGAATGGTTGGCGTGATAGGTAATTTCTGTGCCGGTGGCTTGCCTTTAATACGCATGACACCCCTTCTAACTAGACTTAACGTCCATGCAGTGAGGGGTTGTCAAAGCCAGAGTTGAGATGTAGTAGTCTGATGACGTTGAGGTATCCGGGTATACTGTTAGCGTTGAGAGAGCGCTAGGAAGGCTATGTACCGGCCTATAGTCAAAGTAGAAGCTGGAAGTGGTGTAAGACTGAAATATACGCAGAACCTGAGATAACATCGTATCATCGCAGAGTAGGTTTTCTTAGTCGTGTATGCATAGGCCGCCTGCTTGTATGATGTCAGCTCGGCGTCTAACCGACACAGATCTGCTACCACTGGGCCTGCAAAACGTCATAGAACTGAGAGTCATATGGTTTAACAAATTCATGTCATAACCAGCATTTTGTAACCATGGCATATTGTCTTTTCTGTGGAGCCGAGAGATTTTGTCACTGATTGTGTTCCTCACACCCGGAATGTGTCTAGAGGTTAAGTGAAAGCCGTAGGATGCAGCTAGCCAAAATAAATGCCTTACTATCTTCATTGCTGCTGGGTTATGTGAGGTACCTTTGTTAATAGCGTACATAGTTGCCGAGTTATCGGTATAAATAATCACATGTTTCCCGCTCCATGCCGCCGCCCATCTCCTCGCCGCCACGCCAACGATCGCAAGTTCCTTGATGTTGATATGTTCATTACACAAGCATACCATGCATTTACACGTCGACTGCAGCCGCGAGACTGACTCTTCGTCCCGTATGACGACGAGTCGCATGCCCGTACGCACGCCGCGCACGTGCAAGCTTGCGTGGCGGGGTGCCGTTTTCCCGATACTGGCGGTGAGGCGCCCGTCTGTCCATGACCTGGAGTTAAACTTTAATAATATAAATTATTACCCCTAAAATCTTCCTGACACATAATTCACAGTTGAAAGCATAAGAAAGTTCATGTTTCCTTCTCTGATGAGAACGCAATGTTACCCGAGTTTTGAACTTCTCTTTATAGATAGATAGATAGATATTCTTTATTTCCTCCAACTGAATGAAGATTACAATGTGTGGTGATAATATATTTTACATCAAATGATTAAGATAGGTTATTGATAGAGTCACAAATGTTCATATACATACAAGTGTTTTAGCAAGTATCGCCATTTCCTTATAAAATGGCTTACATTAATTATTACTTTTGCCCATACATCTCTTTCTAGTTCCATTATGCACGCAATTGGACATCCACCAAGTAAAAATGCAAGAATAACATCATCATCTTGATCCCAGATCTTAACAAAGTTTCTACATCCAGAATATCACATATGGAGTTAAAAGTTCATTTCTGTCATTCATATTTATCGTACATGACATAAACACGTGCTTTACAATATCATTGGCGACAGTTTTACATGAACATTCTCTTGAAACAATTTCAGCTGATCCATAGTATACAAGTCTTGCAATATCAATTAACTGGTCGTTCTTCTCTGCAGCTAGCATCCAGAGATAGTGTTCATTATTGGATCTTATATTGATATATCTTGACAGACTAAGTCCTGAATTAAGATGAACATAAAATAGATTTTTCTCGATGAGATTTAGTAGCATCATTTACGGCATTGGACCAGCATTTCTTACTGATGAATTGACCATTATTGACATAGTTAGCTAGTATATCGTGTTTAGGTTATACTTATGTACAAGTTGCAGCATGTTGTATATCGGGGATTTTCTACTATATACATTGCATGTAGGGCTATCTGTACACATAAATTGACCAAGGCGAACTAGAAACATTACTTTAAAACACAGTTATACTTTGCATTACATAACTTTCCTAATAGGTAGAGGGCTGTTTTATCTATGTAATACTGTAGTGGCATGATACCGATACAATCAATACAACAATACTGGGAGTGCGCTTGTGTAGTCCCTGAACTTTACAAAATTGTCGTTGTACAACTTCAAGTATTTCATACTCTTTAAGAGGAAGTTTACCCCATACGTTACATCCATAGAGGCCACATGATAAGATTACCCTCTCCCAGATACGTGCTGCAGATATTGGGTTAAGACCTCCAAAATACAATCCATTATTATGATTAGTGTTCATGAGTACTCGTAGCTTTTCACATGCAGATTTTGTACGTTCAAGTGATGATCTATCTGTACTGAGATATACACCTGCATATTTAATAGATTTCCTTTGTGGAACATGTATATCACCAATTAATACATTACTGATGTTAACGTTATTGTTTGAGCATTCAAAGTGTAGAACCGCACTCTTGCTTACATTATATTTTAGCTGCCATTTATGAGCATAGTTTTTAGCGACATCGAGAAGATTTTGCAGGCCTTTGGTAGAGGAACTCATCAGAGTAGTGTCATCAGCAAGAAGAATCCCAGGGCATTTACCCCATGGCAAAATTAAGCCAGAATCTGAATTCCCAAGTTCATATAGGAGGTCATTAATAAATAATGTGAATAGCCAGGCGGACATTACTCTACCTTGGCCTACTCCTTGATTGACGGGGAATGTATCCGATTTATACCCTTCAAAGCATACAAATGATTTCATGGAGCTATAGGAGAGCCTTAATATTCTCCATAGTTTACCCGTTATTCCAATATCATACAGTTTAATAAATAAGCCATCAAGCCACACCCGATCAAATGCCTTTTCATTATCTAAGAATGCACAGTATACAGGCGATATCCTTTCATTGTAATATGCAATGTTTTGGTATCACAGAGATATCTGTAAGAAATATATTCACTGAATGACTTCATAAAGTAAGATGAAACTAGAAGATCTTCGTCTGAGAACATGACCATACGTGCAGTGTGAAGCGGTGGCATACAAACATACAAACTAAGAAGAATATGTCAGATGACGAGAGGACTGACACGTCTCTCTCAGGAATCTGTGAATACAAGTTTGAGAAATTAAAAAAAAAGGCAGTTTGGGAAGTCAAAGTAGAAATGATCACTTAGGTATGCAATTCACAGAGAATGAACAAAGTTTTTGTAAACTTTTTAAATCAATAAAATATAGTAATGTTGAATGTGACGCTATGAACACTTTATTTACAAAACTGAAGAGAAACAGGGCCACGGCATGCTGACAAGAAATCCTATTCGGTCGAACGAGGGACCACATTGTGTAGAATTGCAAGCCTGACACTGAGAAGTATGGACATAGATTTGAAGCTTACTACAATAGGGGGGTTTATGCACTGCATCCCGATATCAAATTTTCAAGATTAGACTCATAGTGACGAAAAACAATTATGTACCAAAGCCTATTCGTCTCCCCTCGCCGCCATCTTTGACGATTTGTATGCCGTTTCGGGATGCTATGACTGCCGTGTTGGGATGCTATGAATGCTGTTTTGTACGCTCGGCGACCGTTCTCGCGCGCTCTTGTAGCTGATACGCGAGTTTTGTTTCCATTTCAAACGATTAGTCTTCCATTACAGATGTATTGTTTCGGTTTTAGAGGATATTGTTGCAGTTGTGGTGGTTTTTGTTCTGTTTTGGTGTATATGAGTTCAGTTTTGATGATTTGTTCACCGTTTGTATGGTAGGCCTGACCAAAGCCTTCACCGAGTATTCACCGGACAACCTGCTTCCAAGCTGCGCGAAACTATTTCACTGCGCACGTGCTGAGCGCAGCCCAGCTGTTGAAACCACTTGAATTCCCCCCCCAAACGCTGGGGGAAAATAAGTGAATCGTTTGAACTACGATTTCGCGCGGGTTTTTTCATCGCGTTATTTTTCAACTTTATAAGTTGAATTTGCATTTTTTGACGATTTGTTTCGGTAAGTCCCTACCGAAAGGTATCAGAATCTGCAAAGTTGTGTTTTACGTTGCATGTGACCTTTAACCTATCTGACCTGTGACGTCCTGCATCCATTACTGTTGCGAAAATGTTGTACTTTCAAACATGTATAACTCGTCCACAAATAGACTTTCAGCAATGAAATTTTACATCAGTTTAGAAGAAGTTAATGTCTATACAACCAAGTGGATAATTTTAAATAACGGAGACGTTGAGCGCGATGGTGACCACGTAGCACGGTCCCGATGTCGGGTCTCCTGGCTCTCAGTCCAATCTCTCTCAACCTGTTCCGTACAGCTTGACTGGATATCCTCCGAAGTCCAGGCACCCTGGCTTCTGTGCTCTCACCCGTGGCAGTACGATCACGCAAATGTTGTACCCGGATGTGAAATTGTCAGCTATGTAGGCATATTGAATTGCACGTCTAGACAGTTTCCTATGAAATGTAATGTGAATATACAATGCCTTTTAGAAATGATTAATTGCAGCATGTGGTATGTTTACGCCTCTGGATCAATACTAGGTTGGTGAAAATCTGTTACGCGAAGCAGCAGTGAGCTATTCAGTGTTTCAGGGAGCTATTCAGGTATTCAGTGAACTATTCAGTCACTGATTATCACAGGGGACCAAAAAAGTCATAGCTCATATGCATATTCTGGATTACCCTTTCTCAGTAAAGTACAGCTGAAGTTATTTTGGGAGTTGAGCATTTCATAAGTCACGCACTATCAAGACACTGAGCACATCGTGGGAATTTTCATAATTGTAGTATGAGTCAGCTGGATCATTGACAGGGGCAGCAGTGAGGGGTAAAGCTTGGGGGGACATAGCAACAGTACCCAATGTAGGCGTGGCTTCGTAGCGTCGGTCGGAACTATGCATATAGTCACAGATGGCGACAATGGCAACTGTATCGACATTGCTAATACAGTATATAACTAATTTATCAATAACGTTGGCGAGCCTCAGCCCAGACACGCCCGACTCCAGCATATATATTTGGTGGTTTATTCTCGACTAAAGTTGCACGCTGTGAATGAATAGCCGACCAAATAAAACTTCTCAATCTTTTCATTTCTTTTTCAAAACAATTAATCTATGAGTCCCAGTGGTAATGTATCCAAATTTAATGCCCACCGAACGTGATATGTTCAAATATACACCATAATAATTCGATACCGTAAAGTCAGCCCGTCCATTATAATAAAACCAGATGCGTTACCCAATGTACTTATAGAACATATATTGACTGTTTTTGCAACAATTTTGACAATATTATAACCAACACAAGCCCCTTATCAGCACAAGCCCCTTCCATATATTTCTTAAATGGGGTGTGGAAGAGATCTGATTGGGTATTTAAAGACATGGATATTGAAGTGGAACAAATCCTAACTTAGCTGATTTTCTGTTCAGTTGTTCATAGACTTGTGTAATGCAATGTTTAGCCACATCTAAATGCTTGCAGCAACAGGTAAATGCTTGCAGCAACAGGTAAATGCTTGCAGCAACAGGTAAATGCTTGCAGCAACAGGTAAATGCTTGCAGCAGCAGGTAAATGATTGCAGCAACAGGTAAATGCTTGCAGCAACAGGTAAATGCTTGCAGCAACAGGTAAATGCTTGCAGCAGCAGGTAAATGCCTGCAGCAACAGGTAAATGCTTGCAGCAACAGGTAAATGCTTGCAGCAACAGGTAAATGCTTGCAGCAACAGGTAAATGATTGCAGCAACAGGTAAATAACCCAACAGAGCGTGTGTATTGTGTTACATGTAACCTGTGACACGAGTTATATTGACAAATAAGGTTAAGGTTACATCCGGCTATAAGTTAGCTTTCATAGCATCAAGCATAAGGTTATCATGCATGTGTTAGAAACAATGTTCCACATCAAACCCAGCATGTACTTTCTTACTGACACCAAGACACAAAAATAATGTACATACATCGTATTCAGATTTAGTGGAGAATGAACCTGGCATTTGTCCCAAACACCAAATTCCAAATTCACAAATTCATGCACAAATTAAATATGCAAACCTAACGACCCATGCGGGGCGCCTTGCCTTTCGGTCAAAATCGCTTTGCAGCTGTGAGGGTCACTTGCTATTCTATGACTAATAACGTAGTTCCAGAAACGAAAGTGAAAGTAGAACGGTTTCTGGTAGATACACGCCCCTTTAGGAAAATTCCACGTGATGCCACGTAGCTCATACATTGACTGACGAGCTTACGTCACGGGTATTACAACCATATAAAAGCCGAGCGCTTCACAACACACGCAGAAGACGGTACACATAAGACTGTTCGGTAAGTCATTCATTCCTTTCCAGTCAGTTTCTTATCAAAACTGGCCGTCTAGTTTTTCTTAGTTATTGTACTGGATCCAGTTGTATCATTGCTTCATTAACTAATGTCAACCTTAAACCCTAATGATACATTATATCCTTAATGCATACCAAGTCATTGCAACTCAGATCACTTGGCGAGAATTTGCTGTGAATAAGGACACTATATTTTCGTACGAAAGCCCAGAGGGGTCAAAATGGTTTTTTGAATTTTCTGTTTTAAAATTGGTAACTACCACTTTTTTCTGGTAATTGCCACTTTTTTCTGGTAAATACCACATTTGAAACAAGTAAAATATAATTTTTAAATTTTACTTATTCATATTCATTTTATGAGTTTTAAAATAATCTCTTAATATCACGATTGAACTTTCATTTTACATACTGAATGTTATGTAATTGTTTTTCCATTTTAAAAAATAACGCCATGGATTATTGATAGTTGCATTTAAGTTTGCATATAGCTTCTACAAATATATTTTTATCATTTCAGATTATCTAGATACACATGTAACATTTTCAGCTTCGGTATTAAAGATAAACCAGAGCTTACATTTTTTATGACAGGAATGTCTTGTCTAAATCTAGAGTTTATTTTGTGCATTTTCATTTTGTAATTGACTGATGATTAAACTTCAACTTACTCGTTTAATACACATGTATAGAGAATCTCACCCGAGTGTCTTTGATATCAAATGTATCACCACAAGTTGATAAAGTCACAAATATCCGAGGCATGTCGAGGATATTTTTACTTTTATAAACGAGTGTTGATATACTGGTAAATACCACATTTGAAACAAGTAAAATATAATTTTTAAATTTTACTTATTCATATTCTTTTTATGAGTTTTAAAATAATCTCTTAATATCACGATTGAACTTTCATTTTACATACTGAATGTTATGTAATTGTTTTTCCATTTTAAAAAATAACGCCATGGATTATTGATAATTGCATTTAAGTTTGCATATAGCTTCTACAAATATATTTTTATCATTTCAGATTATCTAGATACAGATGTAACATTTTCAGCTTCGGTATTAAAGATAAACCAGAGCTTACATTTTTTATGACAGGAATGTCTTGTCTAAATCTAGAGTTTATTTTGTGCATTTTCATTTTGTAATTGACTGATGATTAAACTTCAACTTACTCGTTTAATACACATGTATAGAGAATCTCACCCGAGTGTCTTTGATATCAAATATATCACCACAAGTTGATAAAGTCACAAATATCCGAGGCATGTCGAGGATATTTTTACTTTTATAAACGAGTGTTGGTATACATGTATTTGATATCAGAAGACACGAGGGTGAGATTCTATTTATCATGAAAAAATCAGTCTTCATTAGTTTTCAATATAAAAAGTGTACATCTCTGATCATGGTACTGCCATTAGACTTGCACAGTAGCGATGATTTTGCATTACCATAGCGGAGTGAGGCCCCCTTATCTTTATAAGCATACATGACCTTTATGTAGCCATTTGACGTGATAGGGGAAAATCCATTTTCAACACATATACAAGATTGAGTGTATAACGTTATATACAAGAACACAAACTAATTTAATACATACCTATGTCATTCAGGTATCAGGCAGAATTTTCTTCGCTCACACTTTCCGTAAAGATGCCAAATTGAAAATATAGTAGCACAGTACTATTATCAGTGCACGATAAAAAGCAGAGAAATTTACTGTTTTTAACGCATAACAAAATTAGGAGTATCATTTAGCAGTGTCTGCTTTTCAAACCGAGTTTATACCATGACTAGTATATATAATGATAGTCCTGGATCAAGTCCAACAAAAGCCTCTGCAAAGCCTTATTTCACAAATAAAGCTTTTGTTAGGCCCTTAGATCTCGCCACCATTGTATGTACTATTTTTTAACTTCCCGACGCTATGACCTCGAATATACCTAGAGAAAGAGAGAAAGGTTCTAAAAAGTAGTAAAATGTCAGGTTGCCGTCGACTTTCGCGATGGCCTGCATGATCAAGTGAGAGTCGTACCCTCTCAAGTTGTGGAAGACCACGGGGATGTTTATTGTCTTGGGGGTGATTCTAAGCTTGAGGTTGCACGCGTTGTGAGCGGCGCCTCTATACTTACCGGTGACGTGGCAGTGATCTCTCACCGAATCACCGTTCAGTGGTGAGTCACACACGTGGCATAGAGTGCTGCAGGCGTGAGCTAGCCTGTCGGCTTGGGTCATACGCATGGGAGCGACTGTATACAGTGTATTCCTAATACTTTTCTCTTCCTCCTGCAAACACTTTAGAAACTTTTCAGCCGCGTCGGGATCCCTCTACACTACCGGAGCTTTCGTTTTCCCATCACATCGGACAAGCACGTATCCAAACCCACAGGCCTCATGCTCCTGTGTTTTCTGTGTGGTTGGGGTACCCCCAACAGCCCCGCCGGCTGCAGCCTCAACGGGTTTGACCAAGGCTTCAAAGTCGGCGTAGATGACATAAGGCACAGACATTTGGTTCTTGTGGTTGTCGAATTTTAGGATATTGTCACCTTCCTTAGGCATGTCGACTCGTATTGCCGTCTGTCCCACACCTTGGCAATCCCCCCGGTGGGATTCTAATAAATCAGCTCGTGTGAAGCCGTGTAGGCATCGTATGCAAAAGTGTTTTTTCCCAACGTGTTTCGACTGGTCGTGCAACAGCCTGCTAAGGTGTTTTATCCACGTGTAGTGATACTTATCGCCTCGCTGGGTCATGAATATATTGATAACGCGGCGATCCAACACTGAGCTGACCCTGTGCACTATTGTTGTGTTACCTTCGTGCCCTAAGATGTTTATGGCTATATTATTCTGTTTTTCTACTTTAGTGATCTGAGATATGGGGGTGGGTTCATCTATACCATCCCAGTTGAGCCCATCATCTTGGGGATAGCTGGAAGGCCTGTTCGAATTAGTGTCAGCTGGAAACAAGGCTGACCTGATAGCTAACCTCAGGCAATCGTCTCCTCTATTCTTGACGTTGACCATGGCCTGTTTTGCTTTGTAGTAGGGGGGCAAGTCTAGGTACGACCCGCCTCTGAACGGCACGTAGTTAGCTATGTCTAGATAAACATTATCGATTTTATCCACGACCCACCCGGACCCCATGTGTGTGTAGCGTTCTAGGTATTCTCGTATCTGCTGAAAACTGATATCGATTGAAGCATCTATAGTCTCGATATGAGTCACGACTTCTTGTTTACCTCGGAAGTAAGGCTGAACGTACTCAATGACCCCAGCAGTGGGGTTTCCCCCCACGTTCTGCTGTTTATCGAGCGACATTTTCACTGTGATTTGAACTTTTATACTTCCCAAATCATTGAGTTCCTCATTGACTTTATCAGCGATTAGAAGCTTGATATCGGCAATGTCTATGTTCCTATCAACATGCATGCGCCAGCCTCTCAAATAGTTACCTACAGCGCGCTCAGTGCGCATGAACTCTAGGTCAATAGCTCTATTCTGCCGTAATAGTTCTACAAGCTGTGGTTTCCTCATACGGGAATAACCTACTAAACCCAAATCGTGTGCCTCTTTCTTCAATTGTTTTACAGTGCGGGGCTTTGCTACGGGGTCGTGTAATAATAATGCCACTAACCCGGCTCTCCCCAGGCGGGAATAACCCGTCAACCCTAGCTCTTTTGCTCGGAGTTTTAGTTGTTTTACCGTGGGAGGGGCTTGTATGTTAAGTAACCTCAACAATGCTGGTTTGGTCATTCGAGAATAACCAATTACACCCCGCCGCCTGGCGATCTGCTGGAGCTCGCGAGTAGTAGACATAGTTGCGTACACACCTAAGTATATCGATCTCTAATTGGGCCGCCGGCAAGGGAGGTACCTTGATAAAAAAATAGTGAGGCGCCCATAAAATCCTTTAGTAAATATCTAGATAAACCTTATCGATTATACCCTCGACCCACCCGGAACATGCGCAGCATAGTAGGGTGATTTGTATTACTTGCAACGAGTCATCAACAAGTATATCTATCTCCCCATGCACATCTACTCGGCCACCATCAAAGTAATTCCAAGTGTGCCCAGCCCACGGAACATCAAACCCTACTTTCACCATGATTGTAAACAAGCACCCCTTATATAGTTCGCTAACAATCATGGGTTTGAGGACCCTGATATCTATACTTTCCCCCACATCCATCTTCCAGCTTCTCAGGCAACGACTTTCCCTGGGCTCAATTTCCACAAACATTGTTATACCTAGGTGTGCCCACAGTCTTTAATTGGGGCACTACACTGCTATCCTGAGGAGGCGCCTACGTTCTTTTCTGTAGTCCTTTTTCACCTCGTAGATGAGATGATGCCTGACTACGTTTGCCCCGTGAGCTTTGCATAGGCAGTAGTGCCCTTTCACCCCAATACCACACACAGAACACGTGTAGTTCGGGCTTCCCATGTGGAAACAACAGTACCCCTCAGTCCTGCAGTTTCTACCACAGGCCTCTGTCTTCCTTAAGTATATATTGGTATCGGTACGGAGCAGGTCTCATCTTTGGTATACCCATATGAGTACTTAGTATAATTGTTTTGCAACCAACGCAGTCGCTGCTAGACCCAGCGCGATAAAGATCAATTCCCGGTCCATTTGCCCAGGGGATGGTGTGTAGTACTGAGCGAGTGTGGGCTTATGGAGTGGTTCTAGCTGTTTACCTGTTAGTAGGTAGTATTCTCTCGCTGCGTCGTCGACATCATGGAATGTTTTAACGGCATGGTTCTCACGCCTGAGTTGTTCGTTAATGTAATCGATCCTCTCGACACGTCTCTTCGCGTACTCAGATTGCGCTGCTTGAAATTTCTCAAAGGCCAAATCGTGACGCTTCCGTTCAGCTTGTATCTCAGCCGCGTGTGACTCCCGTAGTTTCGAGAAGAGGAAATTACTCCTGGAAAATGCCAGGGCGTTTACTAACGCCCCGCCGACCATCATGGCAATCGTAGCCATCCTATATATAGTTACATTTACTTCAAAATATTTTCCGGTAGGATCCCTTGTTTTACTAGGATGTCCTTGGTGGCCATCGCCATACCCAGGTACATTATGAGCATACCCATATCCTGCAGGTTGAAATCTAGCTTGATAGTCGGTTGTTTAAGCACCATTTTTGTCAACCTAGTGTACCCTACAGCTAGACTGGCGACCACGGTGGCGTGGTATGCGTCGTTGACAAACGTTTTCCCCTCAGACATTATGTATATTATATAAAAAAATATATATTTATAACATGATATGTGGGTTGACCTCTAATTGTGGGGGTTCCTCCCAGGGCTCCCTGTGGGGTTATTTGTTATATAACCATGAGATAGCCACGACAGCAGTTGCGCCTGCAATCAACAGGAGTGGAGCCCGGCTCCACGTGTTACTTTTATGTTGGTTAGACCACCTTTTTTTACCGGCAGCTACTCTCTTAGGGTTCTTCTGCCTGGTGACTGTAGGGGTCACCTCCCTGGGGGTTTGGGGTTCCCCCAACGTGGGGATTTCCTCTGAAGGGGTTTGGGGTTCCCCCAGTTGGGGTGGGGTCTCCTCCGGAGGTGTC